TTTGAGAATAACCAAGTGGAGGGAGAAGACACGTGTGCCTGACAGCGACAGGGAGCCTGTTTGTGCTTATTTCATTGAGGAAATTCTTCCGGAACAGCTGCTTATCCATGTGAAAATGCAAACCCTTGGGTCCCGGCCAAGGTCAGCAAGCCCTGGGTCATTTGTTTTAGCAAAGCAGGCCAATTTGCCCTTAAATTATCTTCCCTTTTTGTTTGGTCACACCTCGTGCTCCCTAGATTTAGTTCCTGAGAAGTGTCCAGTATAGTGGAAGTTGTGATACCAGTTTTGTTCTAAATCATAGGGAGGCATAATGTTTTTTCATGAATACTTAAAACTGTTAAGTTTTACAGAAGTATATGCATTTACCTGGCTGGGTTTTGATTTCTACTTAGCTAGTGCAGTAGATTCTTGTTATTAAAATATACAGGATTCTTAAATTTTGAGGTAAAAGTGCTCAAATCACTGAATTTCACCTTGTTTCTGTGCTAATGCAGGTATTGTTGTGTGAAATGGTAAGTCAGTACGTGTTTGCTAGAAACAGGGCTGAGAAGTTCCTGAATGTCAGGGAGTTTTCAGTAGCTGATCTCAGAATGGGAACTTCATAACGAAGCCTGGTAGGGTTAGTAGTAAGCTGTGCAAAACAGCTTATAGAAACATAGAGTAAAACATATGCCCATGTACTGGAGCTGAATGTGAGAAATATTGTGCAGTGGATGTAATTTAGTAGTAGAGAGAGGAAAGCCGTGCTCTATAAGCAGTAAGGAAAGGAAAATAGTGTAGTAAAATTACTTTTTTGCCCTATAATGCTATGTGTCAAGAAAAAAAAATAGGAAAGATGCATTGCTATAGCTGGAGGAACTGAAATGCCGGATTTTGGCCTCTATAATTTAAGGAAAAAAATCTAATTAAACTAAAGTGATCTTTAATGCATGATTAAAAGGTCACTTAGGAACCAGAAAAAAAGCATACTTATTCCAAAACTGGTTTTATACCAGAATTTTGAAAGTGTCGTGGATTACAACCAAGGCTATAATTAGCCTTGGAAACCTCAGGACAGAAGTTTCTCAAGTAGATTGTGACATGATTCCTGAAGGAATAAAAATGGCCAGAAGAGATGACAGTCTCTCGGTGACAGAAGCATCCTCTTGGCAGGGGACGCGGGATGGAAGGGACACGCTGCTTCACACCATAAACCGTGATACAAGAAGGAACAGAATAATTGTTGTCATTTTTGTTAGACTACGTGTGCAGGCGTTTTTTCAAAAGAGAACAGATTTGCAAAACCTTTTTGGCCATCTAAAATGGGTGAAATAATTAGCTTCCACGCCATCAGAGGAGTGACAGAGCAGCACAAAAGAAGGAGCATGTGGCTTGGAGGAGGAGGACAGGCTCTTACTGGAGTGTCAAGCTGTTAATTAGCTCTGCCACAATACGAGACTGAGTTGCCTCTTTTACTGTCCCTTAATTATTAACACATGTTAGAAATATGTAAACTTGGTGTTCTTGCAGCTAGGGATGAGTGTGGTCTGTCTCCTGCTTGGCTAGATGGGCTTCATACCTTCAGCCTGGTGGCTTCTCCACTTTTCCTTGCAGTTAGAGGAGGGGGAATCTTTTCCTCACACCTGCATTTTTGGATGGAGCCATTCCCAGCATTTTGGGGCAGTCCTCCAGAAGCTGATGGAGGTGCTCTGTATTTATAGTATTGGAGCTCGGGGTGGAATTTGGCTTCTTTGGTCAGCAGAGGTGGCCAAAGCTCTTCTGGCTCGGTGTCATGAACTCAGGAGACAGCCTCCGTTTGTTAGCAGATTCGAAAAGAATTAAACAGCTCATTTCAGTGTGCAGCATCCGTGTTAGAACAGACTGACTTTTTCTCATTTAAATTAAATTTTGTATTGAACCACGAGCTTCAATTAAAACTGCGAAGTTCTAATTCCCTAGAGGGACCCATTGGTTGTATCTGTCCTACGGATGCAAGCAACTGAGGAATATCCTTCTCTAAATGTCTACTACTTAATAGTTAAAAAATATTTACATAACCAAAAATACTAAAAAACAACCAACCAACCAAACCCCATAAAAACCCTAAACCAAAATAAAAAAAATAGTTTTGTTTTAGTGTGAATTGGGGAGTGGTTTCACTGCAAAAATAGTCTTTAATGATTCCTGGGACTCGTTGCACTATGGAGACGGGTCTGTATTTTACTCACTACTGCCTGAAGTTGTTTTGATGCCATTGATGAGAGATGAGATAATGTATGCTAAAGTCATTTGGCCAGCCTCGAAATCAAAGCACTGGAAACAAAATCTAGCTGCAAATCACTGGGCTGTCATTCTTCTGAAACCTGTTATCCAAATGACTTTAACAGTTTGTGGGTCGTAAGCAAGGTTAAGAATCATCTTGCACAGTGCACGTTTTGATGATAAAACACTTTTTTTTTTTTTTCTTTTTTATTGGAATGGAAGTGTTAGAGTCAAGAGTATCGGTGTGGGAGTTTGATTTCTTCCTGCAAGTAGATCACTACTCCATATGAGCAGTTGGCCCAGGGTTTAGAAGGACAGTTACGAGGCACGCTGAGCAAAGTGTTTCTCAGTTGTCATACGGAGACTATCTGGTCTGTATGTAGAAACTCCAGAACTGTTCCATTTTGTAAATTTATTTCCAAGTCAGAGTACCTGTTTTTGAGAAAGACTGGCTGGAGCCCGTACCACTAAGTAGGCAGCGTTTTGGTGAGGGGCAGAAACAGGTTAAACATTAAAGCTTTATTCTATTAAGCAATGTTTGTGTGTGACACTTAAACTATTGTCTACTTCAATGGTGAACTCAGGATGTTTGATTTTATAAAGACTTTTTTTCTTGCCATTTTTCAGGTTTGAGAAATCACTGACAAGGAATGAGTCACGTAATACTGTTAATTACTCATTTTACCTAATCTCAGGCATGTTCCATCCTGAGGAACACTTGATAATCCAGTGCAGACTGAATCCCCCAACAAAGTGTCATTGGTGTGTTCACTGGTGTTGACCGTTACATGCAGATGTACTGTCCGCCTTACTGTGGAGAGAAACTTGACAGTGTATATAAACCAAAGTAAATTCAGAGAGAAGTAAAAAAACATATTCTTCAAAAGATACTTGCAGATATTTTTTTGATAGGGAAAACACATTTACTCAAATAATATTTCTGTAAAGTTCCTTCTGAACCAATTGTTACTTCATATTTTTGATGGGTTTAACCGGAGCC